TCACGAAGAAATTGGTGTTGTCGTGGTAACTAGAGTTTTACGACTTGAACTGCAAATAGATGCATCGAACTACAATGAACTGCAGAATAATGCCAATATTTTCTCACTAAGTCATAAAAATGTTCGATTATCTAATTAAAAGTTATAAAAATCGCTGGTAATAATAATTATCAATTTAATTCTGTAGATTAAGATACTCGGATGCCGGTAAACGTATCTAACACAATTAATGCGATAATTAATCCTAAAAGTAAACTTAGATATGATTCGTATTTAAAAAGAAGTATTTTAATATTATAATCTTTCGTTTACGAAAAATTAAAACTAAAAAAATACAATACTTTTTTTTATTACTGTAATAAATCCCTACAAATTATTCCTCTGTAATATCCCTACAAACTATTTTTAAAAAATTTCTTTAAACTGTCAAAAATTCTTCTCTGCTAATTAAATTGGATTATTTTTAAGTGAATAAATTTCTTATTGGATAGTAAAAAGGCAAATAGATTTTTTTTTCCAATTAAATTCTTGTCTTTTCGTAAATCGCACAATAAAATTTCCCTTAACGCAGGGACTCGTTTTAATTTGCAGAAATTTCCCTAATGAGATGAAAGAAATGATCGTTTTAAAAAATAAACGTCATATTTACGTCAACACATTCAACTTTAAATCTGATTAACGAATGAATGATTTTTAATAATAAAAAAATATTTACTGATCTATAAAAATAATAATTTTCTTATAATTTACTAGGAAAACCTTTTTTTTTATTTTACCTAATTCGCTTAAACTAATGATATTATTATCAAAATCAAATTTATCGGAGGCAATCAACGATAATGTTTTTAAAATTATTTTAAAAAAATATAACAATTGCAATTTTTATTGTAGAATTTTTAAAAAAATTCTATAATAACCAATTAATTTTATTATTTTTTCTCCTTTAAAAATTCAAATTTAAAATAAACAATATCACGTGCAGTTAAAATTCTCATAAACAAACAGAAATTTCACGAGATTTCTGTAATAATTTCCAATGGAAATTTTAAATTTGATAATTATAAAGAATTTTTAATCATTAGAAATAACACGCAATAAAATTGGTTTAATAAAATAAATTATAATTATAAAAGTTTTTTTATTAAGTAAAAAAATTTTCTTCATGTCATGAATTTAATCGGCCGATTACGATTTCATTTTGTTTATTACCAAGCATAATGACTTTTTAAAATGAAATCATTAATTTAAATTATTATTTGTGTAAATATAGAATAATTTTACATTTTTATTAATTTATTTTTCAGTTAAAAAAATTGTAGATGGCGTTCGTCGAGTATTATGTAGATTGATTATCGTCTGTTTCACGTAAGTCAAAACTATCAAATAAAAAAATATATGTATACATTATATCTCTGTTTCATATACATGTAAGATAAATGTTAAGTAAAATGCGTAAAGTTTTATATTCAAATATCTAATCAATAGTTTTAAAACAGGAAATATCAATTGTGAACTATCGGGCTTTATCTAATGTGTCTTGACGAAAATGAATAATGGCTTTAGTATAATTGGAGGGCACGGACTCGGCATCAACCATTCATATCGACGATTCCAAATGAAATCTTTCGCATTGATCCTTGTTATTATCAATCGTTCACTTCCTTTGATGTTCTCGTTTATTTTTTCATTCTCTACATTACGAAATTACATAATAACAGTATAAAAAGGTTTCTCTCCTTCATTATCACGAATTATATGCAAAGTACTTTTTAATTCTATTCGATTAGTGTTTGCTTGTCCACAAAATACTAAGTTAGAAACGATATGACATTGGCAGATTGGCATTGCTTAATATGTAATTTAGTGGTGCCCAAAACTTTTCAATTAGTAGGTCGTACTGAGCATAAGTCGTAGGTAGACGGCCGCAAATAGTTTTTATATTCCATATATATACTAAAAGTATCAGTATATGTGGAATATAATGTTCGGGGGATCGTAGTTTGGGCACTAATTTAATCAAATAGGAAGTTATATTATTGTGAACATTCCAATATGGCTAATGATAATCAATTAATAGATATTTTTTCCTGTAATATTTTTTAAAGTTTGAAAATCTATTTGAAATATCATTTATATGTACAGTAAAACCTGTTTAAACCGGAATAGCCCGGTACTGTATATTTTTCCGGTTTGGCAGGTTTCCGTTTTCAACAGGTTTTTTTTTCCAGCATAAAAAATCGTTCCGTTTCGAAGAATTATTTCTGTTTATGCAGGTTTCCGCTTTGGACCGGTTTTACTGTACTTATTTATTTGTTTTTGTGTTTAAATTGTTGTTCCTGTATGTATACGTATGTTTGCATTTATATAAGAATGACTTTACGGGAACTACAGATGAATTTTTAAATAAATTCATCAAATTTAACTGTGATAAATTATTATTAGCTCTTCTAGAACAGATAGAGAATTTTTTCAGTAGAAATTTGAGAAGTTAAAAATTGAATCTTGTGATTTTAATATTTAAGTGAAATTTTCAATTTTCTTTCGAAATAATGAGTTCACACATCTTTAAAATGAAAGTGATGATTTTTGTTTATTTCTGAAGGTTATGTTGCTCTTTGTTATTTAGGTTTTGGCGAAATTTTCTGGATCATGCTTGACTTCGCCAACTATGATTTTTTTTCTGAATTAAGATAGATGCTTTCACTAGTATGCATTTTGTTAGAGATTGAAGAAAGTATTATGTTTTTGTTTATTTTATTTCTTGAGCTATAAAAATAGGAAGTTTTAAGAGAAAAAGCGAAAGAAATCTATTTTTCCAAAAATATAATTTCGAAGAAGCTCAAAAAAGGATTGCTGAAAGAGAAATCAGGAATCTAGAAAGTTTATCTGAAATCATAACCAACTTATTTATAAATTATACAATTTTTCAGAAATTTGTTTTCCATTAAAAAACGTACTTAAGAATATTTTAACTTTAAACACGTTTGACTTTACACCTAGATAGCTTGAACTTATAATTTGTAGAGTTTATTTGACTACTATTTGTTTCCACATCAGTTTATCTCAAGAATTTTATTTTAATGTATGATATTTACCACAATTGAAATCAATAAAACCCAAAATTTATATAATTGTTTATTAACTTGTCTTATCTATCTAAATCATCACTTGTCTATACCAAAACTTCCTATTTTTAATTCTCCCAAATTTTTAAATCTAGTAATTAGAAGATTTGGGGAACAGATTGCTGTAGAGAAGTAAAATAAATAAAAATAACTTGTCTGAAAATTATTTTTTTTAATCATATAACGGCATCATAAAAACCAATGGACAAATACAGTTACAACTTAGGAATCATTTATGAAGAGTCCGTATCTTAGATCCCACACTGCATACTTTTATCTATCCTATTTCTAAATTTCCGCACCTTGCAAGGATTTTTCTTTTTATCTCGTAATCTTTCTGACTTTACCATACATTTTTTCATTAAAAACATTTCAAAGAGTCAATTGATTACAGAGCTGCCACAAGTATGAGTGCAGGGCGTGCACCACACGTGGCACTCATACTTATAAAATATATATATATGTATATAATATATATATAGGCTATATATATAATATATGTAGGCTATACAGTATATATATATATTTTATATACATACATAATATACATTAGGGTAAGACCATATAAGAGTATGCATTTTTGTGATTTTGCCTTATTAATACTCTAAGTATAAATTTGGATTTGATAACTATCAGTCAGCTAGGATATCTCCTTCCGCGTGTAAGTCCTACTTTTACCCCCTTACAAATTAGTGGAAATAAATCGTGAATTCCATCTTTTGATTACCATCAATATTCCTTTGAATTGACTTTGGATGACACGAACGTTTAACAAAGTTGTTACATGCTGGTCCGTACAAGTTTATTCCTCGCGGGACGAGAAACTCACCACCATTGCACACGCTTTGATCGTGCAATACTACAAATCCATATAAATATATAATTCCGGCGTTAACATTTGGACCGTTGGAGCTCGCATTTTATCTTTTAAACGCAATTTTTTGTTCCATTTTTTGTATATATATATATATATGTATATGTGTATATATATATATATATTAAGTTATATTCAAAATATGATTTACTGTGACATGTAGCTTTGATGACATATTTGATTTCCTATGAAATATTTTTACAGTTTTTTGCTTTTAGTTGCTTACAGTTTATTTCAGTTTTTTTTTTCGGACGAGTCCACTTATAATTTATTCATTTGTTTAAAATAAAATATTTTACAGACCTTAAATCAGGGATACAAATTACAGTATATTTTTAGTTCGTTCTATCAGTGAATATTGTTTGTTCAAAAATATTTTATTACGAATTTATAAATTAAAATTCAATTTTCTTACAGAAAATATATAAATATTCTATATTATATTTTAAATATTCATTTGTCTTAATTATTTCAAAAGGTCAGCTTTCATCGTTATGTTATGTGGAATGCTAAAGGACTATTTGAGATTAACTTAGCCTATAAATTTTTGTAATAATTCGGATTTCTCGTTTCATATTATTTTTGTATCAACGATTTAATATTTTATTTTTGCATTTATATTATATAGACTATAAGGTTATTATTGTACTGTACGTGACTTTTATTACCATTCATTTCTATGTTAGAATTCGTGCAAAACTGAACATTTCCATTATTAGTTTTGATAAAACTAGAAAGTGAATTTCCGAGCTTCGAATATGGAATTGTGTAGGGACTGATTGACTAAATATAGCTAATTATATTAGTACTGTATTGTGATTAAAATGAAATATTCTAACTTATATTACAATTAAAATTAGACTAATAATTTACCAATTTTAAATTGATAAATACATTCCAATTACTTATCATAAATGAAATATAATATAATATTCGAGTATTTTAAATGTTTTTATCAAGTTTATTTAATTATATTTTCTAGAAAAAAGTTAACCGTTAACTAAAAGACAATTGTAAAGATCTGAAAATATCATTAAGAAAACATCTCTAAACAAACCAATTTTATGCCAATGTAAACATTAATATGAATTGCGATTTTGTGTGAAAATCCAATCAGCAGAAAGTTTACATAATTGACAAATCAGAGTCTATATAAATTACATTTCCAGTCAAAGAAAGAAATCAAAGCTCAGGATAAAAATCTACATGGCTCTAAATAGGAACTGGAACCAAAATTTTCATTGATATTCAAAAGAAAGATACTCTCTATATTAAAAAGACTGCAATACTTTCCATAAATGAAGTTAAAGAATAATTTTGAAGAGTTCTTGAAGGTTGTAATGCTTTCGGCATAAAAATAATGAAAGATAAATGATTCAATATATTTTTAAGAATAACGGTGAAATTATTTTAAAATTATTTATAACAATAAACGAGAAATTATCAAATATAAAAATCGTTCGTGTTTAAAGTGAGATTACATAAATGAATCAAAAGAAATTTATGTTTCTCTAAGAGCAATATATGCCCTATAGCGATGTTTTATGTTGTTTTACAAGATTGTCAGAAATTCTATTGGCAATAATGCTTACTGGTCCACTAAAGTATTTTAAAACTCCTACAGGTCTTAGGAAGGGAATTGGAAAGTGAAACGAACTATCCATTCTATTACAACTGATGTTGTTCGCATCAAGATATTGTTCAGCATCTCTGATTCTATGAGGACAAGCATTATCATTCTGTAGAAGAATTCTCTTATGGTACTCACACAAGACCTAGCGTCTTATTCCGATATCTATGAGCATTCATAAAGTCAGTAGAAAATAATAGAAATCTCTGGGTAAGTCAAAGAAAAGTTTGCTCAAACTATATTATTATCACCGCCAAAATTCCTGATAAACTGTCTTCTAGAATTGTTTCAAAGAATAAATATACAGTAGAGCATCGGTTAACCGACCGTTCTAGTCGGCAAATTTCAAATGTCCGCTAGTGATGTGGCGCTACAATATTTGACTACGTCTTGGCTACTTTAATATAATTTTTGTTAAATTTTTGCGTGTTTTAGCTGGCAACACTGGCTCAACCATGAAAGGGAGGCCAGTATTTAAACGAGATTTAATTTTCTAGTTACGAGAGGTTGTTTGTTTTGTGAGCAATAAAATAATTTAAAAATAATTTTTAATGATACAATAGCGACGATTATTATTTTTAAAAAATTTGTTAGGCTTAACATCGATGAAAATTCAACGCTAAGTAGGTTAACGATATACTAATATACTAATTACATTTAACTAATTAATATCGATATACTAATATACTATACTAATAATGTATTTTTTTTCATTATTTTCGGTTATCCGATTTTTCAGTTATCCGACCAACCCGAGTCCCCAATTGAGTCGGATAATCGATGCTCTACTGTAGATTCATCTGTAAAGATGATAGAACTCCATCATTCATGAATCCAGTTAATTTGAAATCTACAGTATAGGCTGGAATAATCCATGTTTTATGAAGGGGCTAAAAGAAAATATATTGCTGAACTAATAGCATAAAGCCATTTCCATGAAGCCTTTTACATACTGTCAAAGAATTCGAAGAATGCTGCTAACTCTAGGTTAATGTTCCTTGAATAGTTAATTAAGTCTAACCACTATCTTTTGAAAGTCTTTGTTCACTATCTCTATTTATTTGAACTGTTAACTAAATCCATAGATCATTGGAACAACTTATTCCAAATTATTCGGTCACTTGAGATAAGATGAGTGGAAAGCCAGTTTAGAGTATTTTTCTTCAATTTTTTAAAATGCTACTTCAAAACTGAATTCAAATAAATTTTTATCTTATTATTTTTTAATCAAATAAAAAGTAAGTACTATTAAAATCATGTTTTTTTAAGGATAGGTAATTCGTATATCCAAGATTATTATATTTACTTGTCTTTGATAATGGAATCAATAACGAGCAATTATTTATTGTGACCTCGTCACAATGCCGCAATTTTTAATAATCTTTTAATTAAAAAAAACAGGTTACTTCCGGTCCAGAGTGGAAGTTCGTATACAGGTATACCTCGCCTTACGTCGGTAATTGGTTCCAGGAGAACGACGTAAGTCGAATTTACTTGTCTCCGAATCTACTTGTCACTAGGCTAAACCATAAATTACCATTCCCGGTTCTGTATTTTATTTATTAATGCATTTTTAATAATATATGGTTAATAAAAATCAATTTTAAGCTTACAAACAAATAAATTTTAGTTTTTAATATAGCACAAAAAAGTATTCTAAATTTACGAATGCATGTACTGTAAATACAGAACATACTCGTATATATTTTAATATGATTTTATGTGATTTAAACGTTTTTCTAGTGATATTACGACTTCAATATTTGTGGCGGACAGACGTAAAGTCGAATAAAATGACTTAAACTTGATTTTTATTTTTCCATATACCGTACTTTTTTGACAAACGACGTATAATCGGGAACGACGTAACTCGAAACGACGTAAGTCGAGGTATGCCTGTACAGTTAATCGTGGTCTGTGGCTCCTAAGCTTTCCATATCTGGTCTCGATTTTAGTAGGTTTGCCCTGTACATTATACTTCTCCTGATAACAATCGAGTCATGCCAGTCATCTATTTAACTCCATTTTCAAGAAGGTTTTTGAATTGAAATCACGTGACTCTCCGGTCCAAACCGGAAGTTAATATATAGTTAATTGGGTCCTCTGCTAAACTTTTCATATTTGGTCTCGATTTCAATCTATCAAACTCTTCTCGAGATTAACGAAAGACAGCAGACAATGGACGGACGACAGTGGAAATGTATGTCTGCAATTTGAAAATTGCAGCCCAGTTGATATTTATGTTACTCATTTGTTGAATTCATTTTGTTTTTTACTGTAGGTATTTGGAAATATTTGAAAATTTACTGTATTTCATTGCTTATTTTATGGAAATATTCATGCAAAAAGTTTATTTATAATTTTCCATCTGATAATTACCTTTTATTGATTTTTGTATTATATCAAGAATTACTTCTAATGTTTTCTACGTATTTGTATAACTTCAGTATTTGATTTAAAATAAAATATCTTAATTAAATCAATTTACTATACTGCCAATAGTACTGTAAAATGCAATCATAGCGGATTAATGTTGATTTTAATAAAGACTTTTTTACATTATACTCTCCTTAGACAGTTTTTTTAAGTATAAAATTGAAAATTGATATGCATACAGTATATGCATGTAGTAGACTGGCATATTTCTTATGGAGAAAATTCAGAATTATTGATTTTGTGATTGTGGTAAAATGGTTGTCTGAATAAACGGGTTAATAATTTTTTTTCTTTTTTTCTAGTTTTAATATTTGTTATTGCAAAGCAATTAAGAAGTTAATTTTGTTTGTTCAGTTATAATTATTTAAAAGGAAATTCAGTTTTGTTTTCTCAAAGAAAATTATTTTATAAATAAATGGTAAATAATTAGGAAATTCTAAAATATTATTATTTATGTACAATATAGAATATGGATAACAACTTGTTTATGGAGCATTATAAAACTGAATGATATAACATGCAATTTTATAGTTTATATAATTATAAAAATTTTTATTTATTGAAAGTATTATGATTTAATTAAAGATATTTTAATTAAAGACTTTTTAGTACACTGCATTCGTTAAAACATCACTATTTTCAATTTTTAATATTTAATATTTATTATCAATTCATGCTTTGCCAGGTTACTACAATTATGTTTATACTGTACTGTACATATAGTAAAACTCCAATTATCCGAATTAATTGGGACCTCGGGCCGTTCGGATATGCTGAATATCTGAATAATTGGATTTATGCTTAAAATAGTAATTTTTTTTCTGTTCAAACACCCCGTTAAGTATGCGTTTATATAATTATGTTCAAATAAAATAGTAAATGTCATTTCCACATTTACTATTTTATTTGAACATAATTACAATACCTATAAATGAACATAATTTTTTTCTAAATGAAGAAAAAAACAATTTTTTATATATACTATACATATACATACAGTACATGCCTATTTACTGTATTTTTAACAAAGTCAGAGAACAGTCCGGATAATCAGCGTCCGGTTAATTGGAATGTTAGTTTATGTATTAAAATAATATTTATCCTATTTATATATAAAATATACACATGCATACATTATTAATATAATTATAGGAAAAATTATAAAGAATTAGCAAACGTAGAAGCTACATTATATTAAAATGTAATCCATGTAGTTGTAAGTTTTAGTAAGAAGATAATTTTATTTATAGAAGCAATTATAACGCTAAATTGAGTACATATAAAGAAAATAAACATAAAAATTTGAGTTATTGAAGCTAATAAATGTAAATATACCATATATATATGACATATTTTTAATATATTTTATACAAGTGGAATGATCATTTCCGTTATTATGTTACTTAAAATATTAATTACATAAATAAAATGTAGTAATATTTATTGTATCATATTACACGTATCATATAACACATCCATAATATTTCAATATCTTCTGAAATTTAATATTATTGAATAAAAATTCGATTTGTTTTTTTTAATTTACATGTAATTCTTTCATGAAATTTGATAAATCTACGTACCTAACTTTTAATTCCGTTCGATAAATATTATAAATATTAATTATCAAAGAAGGAAAACATTTGGTGATATTGTATTGGGAAAAAATAACCTGTTTAATTAAAAAGTTATATATCATGTAAAAAATATAAAAGCTTTCTAAAGTCATTCCAGATAAACTAATAATAAATCTATTATTGAATCTAGCTTACAAGTTAGATATATTGAATTACTCAAACTAGACTAAGAGATGGAATAGATAAGTAATGAAGTAACTTTAAATATATATAAACACTTATTCATCCATAATATATATTGTTGAATAATAATAAAAAATATTCCCTTAAATATTAAAACGAATTGCATTTAATTAAAGTATATGTAGTACTGTACATATAACACATTTATTATATAACATTTTATTATTTGTTTTTATTATTGTGTTTATATTATTTCAATAACAGTTATGTTTTATGTTATAGGAAAGCCAAATCTAAAGTACATCGAATACCAATAGATATTACTGGAAAGTATTCCAGATGGTTAACCTAGCGAGTTTAGTTTGAAGATTGCCAATAGAATATAGAAACACATTCGTTATTTAAACATTCTTGCAGACATATTAGTTTAATTGTGCTCGTATGTAACAACGGTAGCAATAATTTACATTTAAAAACAAAAAAATTTTATATAAATTACAGAGTAGTAAACGATTTAAATATCAAAACAAACATCTTTTAGAGCTTTACGATATGGTTAGGAAGCAATAAATGTTTCTGTTTGTATATGTTGGATATATTTGAACCTATAATTGGTCCCAGCGGGGCTAATCAAAGAGTGACGTTTGTCCTACAAATATTTACCACAAAAAATTATTGCCACAGTAGATGGTTATTTTCAGCATACAATATTTTAAGTGTCATATATTGACTAGACATCTTGTCTTTTTTTTCTTTCGTTTTATATATAAAATTTTGATGATTTAATATAGGAAATACTCGTTTGTTCTTATGGAAAACTATTTATGTTAGATAATAGATAACTGTAAATACAGATTGAGAAACAAAACCATTTTGTCATATCCCATCCGAAATAAATATTTTTGTGTCTTTGGTTCTTGGATTTAACATCAATTTTCTTAATATTTGAAGTTTGATATATATATCACTATATCCCTTTTTATATCTGGAAAATTTTATTAAGAAAATGATATA